CCTGAGTCCCTCCTGGAGAAGGGCGGCATACAAATAAACCAAATACAATACAATACAATACAAATTGTTTCCCTACCAGTTCTGTAGGCATGGCTTGGTGGTGGTCGGGTCCTGTGTCTGACTGGGTGTGGCCAACTCGATGTCACTCACACTCACGCCCACTCAGTCACATGACCCCCACACCTAATCACGCCCAGAGAACCCGGTAGGAAAAAATGTGTGTATAAGAATGAGAAGGGTTCATAGTGAATGCTGTGGCAGGGAGAAGCCAAACTTTTCTCCCTCCATTCACAGTGGAGCTGCTACTCCCTTTATCATCCCCCTGGCCCCTCCTTCCCGGGGACTACCTTAAAGGGACAGGTTGCAGCAGTTCCACTGTGAATGGAGGGAGAAAAGTTCAGATTCTCTCTCCTGCATTTAATGTTGAATTCTGTGGCAGAGAGAATCCGAACTTTTCTCTCTCCATTCACAGCAGAGCTGCTGCTCCCTTTATCGTCCCCCCTGGCCCCTTCCCTCCTGGGATAGGCTGAAGCAGCTTTGCAATGAATAGAGTGAGAAACTTTTGGATTGGTTGGGCGGATTGAGCAGCCGGAAGGGGCGAGTGAGCAGCGGGAAAAGATGAGAGGCAACTGGGCAATGAAGCAAGTAATTGGGCGGGCATGGGTGGGGCCCAATGGTGGATTGCATGTGGTACACCCTGGTACGGGTGTACCGGTGCCTGCCAGAATCACCGGTACCGTTCCGTTCCGGTGCTCTGGAGGCCCCACCCGCCCGAGCTCCTTACCTGTATTTGGGTTCTTCTGCGCTTCTGCGCATGCGCACGGAGCATACAGCACCTGCTCAACACTCCGCCGAGCAGCTGGAGCATCATGGAGACGTAACAGAAGCATTGTGGAGGTAATGACACATCTGCGTGCTGTATGCATGTGCGCACTTGCTGTGCGCATGCATGTGGGGACGCAGGCCCCCATTGCACCATACCGATTGCAACGGGATCCAGAACCCACCACTGGTGGTGCCAACCAGGTGTGATTTTTACCAATTTGGCAAACTGATTCCAATAGTTCCTACCGGTTTGCCCGATCTGGTCCAATCCGGTCGAATTTCATCCCTGAACTGATCCCTCTCTGCTTCTCTATTAGTGCATTGTCAACTGTCATATGAAAAAAGGGCTGCTCAGTGAGGATGGATCAGGAAAATGTTAGAGCTATCATCATCCCTAACTGCGTGAGCAGTCCAGGAGAACTTCTACTTTGATAATTTTCCTCACATTTACTTCTCTCTTCACCTACATGGAATCACCATGTCAGTCTCAGTGATGGAACATCATAATGGATCCATAACAAAACATTATTTATTTCTGTTTCTCTGCTTTGGTCCCAAAGTTGCATCAGCATTAAACCATAAATCCTTTCACATTTGCTTCACTCCTCCTCTTCCCCTCCTCCTCTTCATCTTCAATGCAATAACTTACCATCTTTCATCTCTTGATGTGCCTAGTGGACTGTACCCGACAGGAACGATATCATGCAATTTGCAGAATTCTAAAAGTTTGGGTTGAGTGAAGTATGGATGACATTCAATCTACAAACAGTGGGAAATGCAGAATTTTAAAAAAAATCAGAGTTAAGAAACAAAAACAAAATTAGCTAAATTTATTTTTGCAGGAAGCAAAAGCTTGCAAAAGTTAAAAAAAATCAACTGTGGAAGTATTAATAAGCTTCCTTTCTTGTATAGATTTCTGTCTCTGATATAGCTGCATTTTGTAAAACTGGTAAAAAGTAGTTGCCAAGTAATTTAGGAAACTTCACTCAATTCAGCAGAGTTTGGCACAATCAAGTCTTCTCTCTGACAGTGTGTGTGTGTGTGTGTGTGTGTGTGTGTGGACATCTTTGAGTCACTGTTGACTCCTGCGGACTGCCAGGGTTTCAAAAGAGGTTTGCTGTTGCCTTCTTCTTCCTAAGGTAGAGAGAAAGTAACTAGCTCAGGGGTCAGCAACCCACGGCTCTGTAGCCACATGTGGCTTTTTCATCCCTCTGCTGTAGCTCCCTGTTGCCAGTCAGTGTCACAATTTTGAGAGGAGCTTCCAGTTGGGGGAGGGAAAGCAAGGCACACCAGGAGGAGACACTATGGCAAGGGGTGGGTTTTCCGGTCGGCTCCACAATTCATAGGGCTTTCAGTTAGGCCTGGTAGAGGAAAAAGGACACCGTGCTAGGAGGAGACTCTATGGTGGGGGAACCAGACTTCCAGTTGGTAGAGGAAAAAGGATACTGTGCTAGGAGGAGACTATATGGTGGGGGAACTGGACTTCTGGTCAGTACCAGAATTAAATGGGGGGCTTTCAGTTAGGACCTTTGTGGCTTTGTTATGTGGTGCTAGAGATTTGAACTGCTGAACTGCCGACCTTTCTGATTGACAAGCTCAGCATCTTAGCCACAGAGCCACCACATCCCCTATCTTCAATATTATTTTCTTGCAAAAGGAAACGGTGAAAGTTTGGAGCACGGAAGCTCATTCCATTGCACGACGCTAGGGATTCGAACTGCCAAACTGCTGACCTTTCTGATCGACAAGCACAGCATCTTAGTCACTGAGCCACCACATCTGCCATCTCCAATATTATTACCTTGCAAAAGGAAACAGTGAAAGTTTGGAGCACGGAAGGAGAAAATTCAACTCCCTGGGACCTTGAGTAGCCTGGCCAATTAAACAGCTAATAAGAAGTTATTGCTTCATTGAATTGTTCCAGTTTACTCCAGGCATCTGAATGGTGTGTGACATTTATGGTAACAGTAGGCCAAGGGAACCATATGTTCTAATCCTTAGCATCTCCTGTGGCTAAAGTGGGGCCCTCTAAAGGGGTGGAGGAAGATTTCAGTTAGGCTAATCCACATGTTTCAACTATAAGATCAATGTGGTAGAATACAATGACCTTTTACAACTGCCAAGAAAGTTTGCTTTTAGCAAGCTTGCATACTTAAAAACAACAACTATATATGCCTTAGAGAACCTCATTGTCTGCAAGATAATAATAATAATAAGGCCCACAAGATTTTTCCATTGGCATAGCTTTGTGAGCTGTTAGCATCTCATTTCCAGTTGTTAATTGCTAAAGGAAGAAAGCCAAGTATCGGCTCTTAATCATTCATAATCAGTTTGATGTAAGATATGGACCTTTAGGAAGAGAAAGAACCCTAATTCCAGACATCACTTCCAAAGCTAACTTGTCTTCTATGATTCCTCCCACTCCTCCAACTAGCAACAGCCAATTCAACAAAATCCAGAATTTCTCTTCTTACTATGTTTTCACATGTTTGAGTTCAATGCAAGTGTTATGATCTCCTGTATATGGTGCATACATGGTGTGTTATTAAACTTTTGCCTCCTACTCATCTACTTAAAAGAATTATGGAACAGATGATCTTGATCAGAAAAAGTGAAAAAGCTATTAATTGGAGTAAGTAAGGCCATTCTGACTATTTGAATCACTCTCTGAAATATTACATATTTAGATACTACGAGCCAATAATCTGGTGTTGCCCAGGTATTTATGTATAAGGGGAAATGTCAGGAGCAAACATAATTTCTAATGTTGGATTTTCCCCCTTACCAGAGGGAGCCCCCTTGTGGAGTACTGTGAAACCGCTACCATGTCAACTCCACTGCGCTGTACAGCAGAAGCCATTTTAAGGCACAACAGGCTGTATCTGAACAGAACACACATCCCAAGGAACATTAGGGTGTCTCCCCCACCCTATATATTAGATGGTTACTGTCCAAAATGCCTTCCTCCTCCCAAGGGTAAAGGACTCTTCTGTCAATATAATGAAATTAATTACTTTAATTTCCCAGATTAAGCCTGAGCAGAAAATTAACATGATTTTAATTTAGCCCAAAATGAAAGGCCTGTGGGGAAGGTTGAATGAATAGGCTAAGATTTTGTTTGGTTTTAGGAACATGTTTGTTTATCTTATGTAGAGGAAACCAAAAGCAAAGCTGAAAGGAGAAATACTATATATGAAAAATGATATACTTGTTTTTTTTATGCCAGGAAATCATGAAGATGCATCATGCAAGATATTCTGATGCTAGATACTACACTAGTCAAGGACCGATGGCTTATGCCACTCATTACATGAGAAAGTCAACATGCTTACATGGGCTCATCTATTCACTGTCATTACCTGGTTGCTGACAGGTTTGTACTTCAAACCGGGCTTGTTCAGAATCATTTCCAGCTGCCTCCGATTGAAGTTGGACACACCAAGAGATTTCACCAAGCCTGCATCTTTGCATGCTTCCAAAGCCTGTCAGAATGAAGTAGGCAAAATGGTGTAATAAACTGGCAAATAATATTCTCACTGCTTAGGAGTACAAAATCAATAAGGGTGATGGCATTGTGATGCTGTTACAAGGAAAGAATCCACGATGGACTCCACCAACCCAAGTGTTCCTCAGGTGGACCAATTCCAAGAAATGGAAGGTCCATTCTCAGCAATGGCCATGCTGGTTAGGGAACTATGGGAGCTCAGGTTCACACAGCTGAGAGGCAGTCAGTGGAGGAGGGCAAAGGAGATGTAAGAAGGACAGGTTGAGTCATCCCCCACCAAAAGATTGTTCTTGGCCTAAATTTAGAACATTTGGGAGATGGGAGAGAAGACAAACAGGGAGAAGCAATATGAAACAGCAATTGCAAGAAAGGGAGAAGGTAGAAGATGCTAATGATCCTTATTAAAAATAGTATAAGTGCTCAAATAACCTCAAATCATATTTAATATTTAGTTACTCACTCCCTCTCTCTACACCAGGGTTAGGTTCCTGCCAGTTCTAACCTCTTCTATAGAAGAGGTTCCACAAATCTACAGTGCCATTTAGAACCGGTTCCAGCTTCCCCCCCTCGCCTGTCCGCGCATCATCAAGATGAAGAACGAGAGGATGAATTCTGGGAATTGAAGTCCACAAGTCTTAAAGCTGTCAAGTTTGAACACTTCTGGGTTTTTTTCCTAAAGTGTTAGGGGTGCAAGGGTCTTGTAACTTGACAGCTTTAAGACTTGCGTGCTTCAAATGCCAGAGTTTCTGAGCCAACATTTTGGTTGCTAAGCAAGAGCGTTGTTAAGTGAGTGTATCTGTATGTTAAATGTGTGATT